CCGCTTTGCTGTAGATACGGCACATATATATAATATGTACATATGTATGCATGTATATGTGTTGAGAATTAAAGAGAACTTCTAACAAGCTGATCAAAATAAGCTTTTGCATTTTTATGCACGCTGCCAACGACAAAGGAAGCCAATTGAATACTTTGACAGATAAATTAGTAGTAATGAAAAAACCTTTGCCAACGTTTCTAGCGTACGAAATACGCAAATGTGTGTCAGCAAACATTTTGACTAATTTTAGAATGTTGAAACATACATACTATACATGCATAAATCTATATGTTTATGAGCGTTGCTCTCTGATTTGAATATCTTATCGCTTCATCAATACCTTAATTGTACATACATATATGCATCCAAACATACATATAAAAAGACATATGCACAAAATAGCAAACAAACCCAAAAAAAAAAAATAAACATAGCCGTTAGATGATCATTGTATTTTTGTTTTCTTGAGAGTTCTCTACATTAGAATTTGCACATTCTATATGAACAGAAATAATATAAATACATACATACATACATACATATTATATGAAACGTGAATTTGCATAAGCAGTTCTAGCACAATTATACTAAAAGCGAGTGGAAGAGGGGCGCAAGAGCGAGACGTGACGCTTAGATACACACTCTATGTATTTTAGCAACATTTGTTGAACATTGTTTGAACCCACTCACCGCAAAAATTCGCAAAAATACAAAAATAAAAAGGAAAGTGCAAAAAAATGCTACAAAAACAAACACACAAAAAATTAAAAAAGCAGCAAAGAAAAAATTCAAATTAAACGATAAGTAAATACAAATAAAATGGCCAAACTCGTAAAAAGTGTACACATATTAATGTATGTTTGTGTGATCCTGGTATACGTTGCGCAGCAAGCTGCGGCGACAGTTCTCACTTTTCTATTATTCGTGTTTGCACAAAGCTGTTAAATTCTATAGTTAACAGGCTAGCAAACATCGTTCAATCTCCATTTATTTCGATATTTAAGTTAAATTTGTACACATATAGTCATAGAAATATATTTATATAAATATACATGCACGCTTGCCGCACAGTTGGTTTCAAAAGCGATGATACACGGTTCTTGTTTATTGAAAAGAAAAATTCACAATAATAAAAATAATT